GTATCATAATGCAGTACATTTCCTTTTCATGGGCTGCATCTAGGGATTGTGAGGCAAGAACAGCATTGATTTGGGGGGGGGGCAAAGGAGTGGGAAGGAGGAGAGGGGGGAAAAAGGGCGCAGAAGGAAAAGGAGAGCGGCATAACAGTGCCCTTACCAGTTGACCAATCTGTGAGTCTGTGTCCATACTCTTCTTCCTACGGCGCTCCGAAGTGGTGGCAACCGGGGCACCGATTGGATCTGGTTCATATGAAGAGGCTGGGGGTGAATCAGGAAGGACATATGTCCGCGTTTCAGGGAGCCCATATGAGCCCACAGTAGTTCCAAGACCTGATGCAGATGCAGCAGCTTTGACAGCTGCTTGTTTTCTCCCTGAACCAGGAGGCCTTCCTCTCCTTCCAGGCCGAGCTGGCGGTCTGAACCCTCCAGCCGCTGCTTGCCTCTCTTTGAGATTTCCCAGAGGACTTTTGTTCACTTCGGAGCCCTTGGACTTCATGTTTTCTCCTCCCCCCTTCTCCTTCCCACTGCCTTCGCCCGCTCCATTCTCTGGTCCCAGTTTGCCGCCACCTGCCCCTGCACCATTCTGACGATCCTTGTCCCCTCTTCCTCCCATTCCCCCTGCAGCCTTTCCTGCCCCTGGTGGGTTTGCACCAGTACCCTTATCAGCTCCAACCAATTGCAAAGGTGCCTTCTTCCCTTGAGGTGGTGGAAGCTTGACCACTCGGCTCGACTCGAGGATGGGAACTGCAAAATTGGGGGGCGGTCGCTTGGGTACCGAATGAGGCCCCACCATCGGGGTGCCGGATGAGCCTCCCCCATTCCTATCCATTCCACCTCCAGATGGCCCAAGAGCCAAGTTGCTGCCACCTGGGTTTGCCGATGCTGATACCGATAAGTGCTGATGCGACAGCGACGCCGCAAGAGAGCCTTGCGAGGCCGCCGGAGGCGGCATCGACTGTGGAGGCGGCAATGGAGTTGGCATCTCCGACATGAAATTCATGGGCATATTCCATGAAGGTGGACCAGAGGTGAAGGTGGAAAACAAACCTCCACTCCCAAGAGTTGAACCCGAACTGGCAGAATTGCCCAACAAGAGGTCCGCCGTGGCACTGACAGAATCATCCCCACTTACTCCTGCCATATTTTCCAATGACCCTGCTGGCCTACCGACTTTCCCTGGCCTGCTTCCTGTGGCATCGTACTGAAACTCGTTGTCCCTAGGCCGCTTCTGCATGTCATTCTGACATAGGATTTGTCAGAGGGGTGGCAAAAAAAACACACACAAGGCAGATACATCCGGTATCTAAGCTAATCCCCTCAGAATACAACAGCTTCTTTTTCACATTATAATCTGCCACAGTTAAGTTATAAACCACCACTACCTCCGAGCCTGTTTGATTGTCACTGCGCCCCGGGCCGCGCCTTGCCGAGTCTGGGTCCCGTTCTGTATTACTTTCGGGTACACTTGTTGAAATAACATCAAAAAATAACTCGTCATTGCATCCACGAAAGAAAGGGGAAAAAAAAAAAAGGAAACAACCATTTGGACGTCATAGCCGGTAGATACAAAAAGAGAAAGTACAGAGGCCTCAGAGAGGGCGTCGCAGTGACCTCACTGACACACAAGAGAAGGAAAGAAAAGGAGGAAAAAACGAAACTGCCCTAAGGACGAAAAGCGGGAAGATACATTGTTGTTGGTAGCAGTGTGAGTGTGCCCCCGTGACCCTACTGTCAGTAGCCCGTGGAAAGGGCCCTGCCTCGGTGGCAGGGCACTATAAGAAAAGAAAAGAAACGAAGTAAACAAGAACATAACCTGAATATTAGTCAGATACAGGCTTGAAAGTGTAGTAGATGGTTGCACGACCTCCTTCACGGCGATCCCCAACATCATTTTTTTTCTTTTCTTGTTTCGCAAAAATGGGCCCACAAAGCCCCTCGCCTACCCTCATCGGGACCCCGAAAACGGTGGAAAAATGGGAAAACTGCCAGTTGTCCCATTTTTCCCAACAGTGGGCGAGGCAGTGGTGGTTTTGGTTTAAACTTCAAACCAACACTCTACCCGACACCCCGAAACTGCTCTCCCTGTGAGTTCGGGCGCGGGTTTTGCGGGGCGGCGGCCACACAGTTGGCAGCGCCTGCGGCCCTGGTGCGCGGGTGTGTACAAGCGGGCAACCTTCTTTTTTTTTTTCTTTTTTTTTTTTAACAAGCAAACGGCAACTTTCGCGATTTTTCGTCACACACAGAAGAATTCATTGAAATTTCGGAAAATTTTGAGGATCCGTACATTTTTGGTTTTCATCTTTCCAAGAAAACATTAAATACCTCCACCCTCCGGGGGATGCTTTCTCAGCGAGTGCTGCACTATGTCAGAGCCGTTGTGAGGCACAACAGAATTTAGTCAGGAATTTGAACAAAGGGGGGAACACCAAAAAAAAGGGGAAAAGCAACACGAAGACGTGCAGAAAGAAATTGTCCAATGGTGGGCAACATACTGTTGCGGAAAGCAGCAAATTAAACCACCAGTACTTGACCCAGCTATCGGCCGCGGAATAAAAAACTAGAGTAGAAACGTTTCTAGTTGTTGGATGAATTTGGACGCTCCTGTAGTGGCCCGTACGTTTCCTAAAATCGTGGCGCGTTAACGGGAACGACTTCAGGAAGTGCTGCCAGTGGTTTAACATAGAAAACACCACTGAGTCAAGCATCTACAAATCCACAAGCCGATTGCCAAATGTGAAAACGCCCACCAGTGCAGGTCGCAAAAGAGATTCCCCACGTTTTCACATTTGTGCAAAAAGAGATTCCCGAATCTTCACATTTGTGCAAAAGCCATTCCTCAGTTTTCACATCTGCAATAGACATTCCCCCCCATTTCTCATAACCGGAGAGGCATATCCACATCCGCAAGCCAGTATCTCAATCCAATCACCAAATTTGAACTTCAGTATCTCAATCCAATCACCAATTTTTTTTATTTATTTTTATTTTTTTGCTTAAGTTGGAAAGCAGTGTGATGTGCGCCTGCCACACCATCTCAAGGTGGCCCAGGCAAAGTCACAACAGTGCGGGACAAGGGAGAAGGGACAAGGGGGGGGTATTGGGAGCGTGGGAACAGGGAGGGAGAGGAAGGGAGGCACTGAGGTGAGGGCGATTGTTATGAGAAGAGTAGAAAAGAGGAGAGGGAGGGCGAAAGCAAACACAGGATCAAAGAGGAGATGGGAGGGCGAAAGTGATCCTGAAGAAAAAAGTGAAGAACAGAAAAGCCAGAGGAATAGGAAACAGTGATGAAGATCAGGGGACAAAGACAGGAGAGGAGGGATGGAGAACGTACCTGCGCTAAGTCAACCAATCGCTCCATCGTTTTGAACGAGGATGGCACACAACTACACTCTTAAACACAATGAAGACCTGCACATGATTACAACACGAAAAAAAAACTATTTCAGATCCGTACACTTTTCCTATTTAAACAAACAGCCTTATGGAGGGGCCCTTCTTGCCACACTGCAGGCATGTCATTGCAGTTGGCCGGTAGGGCAGTGATTCAACATCCACATAAACACACACACACACACACACACACACACACACACACACATACACACAGATTTATCAACTTAACGCATACCCACATTCATACTGTTTAAACACACACACACACACACACACACACACACAGATTTATCAACTCAATGCATACCCACATTCATACTGTTTACACTAAACCGGGCCTGAATTTGAATCAGGTATATCCAGTGAAGTCTCTGGTGTGAGTACAGCCTAAAATGTCCATCGAACAAATTCATGCACGCCGCGGTTGAGACCGATGCAAAACAATTTCAATTTAACAAATGGCGTCGATTGCAGTAGTTTACTTCAGGACAGGGCACGGGGTGCGATGACCCTCTCCTGCTAAATTTCCTAGGAACCTAAATTTCAAGACGCTTGCAGCACACAGACAGAAGTCCTCTGTGTGAGGCTCCAAGCCTCGACGGCACCCAGCAGGGGCCGCCTGTGTAAATTTCCCTGGCCCTAAGTGAACACCGGCCATATGAATATTCCACCGGGCCCTAAGTGTAGGCCCTTCTGTAAGGGCAAGGGTACTTGTTGCGGCCTCGCACGCCAAAATCAAATTAAAAAAAAAAGACGAGCAGAGGAGGAAAGAGGGGGGCGGGGGGGTAGATCTTGTTTTGAGGCTGTGTATGTTTGCTTAGTTTTTTTTTCTTTCAATGGTGGCCGGAGACTCTCTCTCTCTCTCTCTCTCACACACACACACACACACACACACAGAGTGGTGACCAAAAAAAGCAGAACGCGAACCTTAAGTTTTTCTTCTTTCAATGACGGCTCTCTCTCTCTCTCTCTCTCTCTCTCTCTCTCTCTCTCTCTCTCTCTCTCTCTCTCTCTCTC